ACACACACTCTCTCTCTCTCTCTCTCTCTCTCTCTCTCTCTCTCTCTCTCTCTCTCTCTGTTTCACACACACACACGCTATTTCAATGGCTTCCGTTCCGTTCAAATACTTACATGAGATAAACACTGCAGTTTCAGGCCTCAAATACACTTTCGCAAAGATAAATGTTCAGTGTTTGTGTTGTGGACTCGGTTAGTTCCGCATTCTTCTTCTTCTTCTTCTTCGTGTTATACGGCGGTTAAATCGCGGATCAGTGGTTCATCACCGCCCCCTTCTGCTCCGGAGTGCGGAACGAACAAAAGGCATTCTGAGGAAACCCGAGAGAAGACCTTTATCACCCTATCGACATTTTCTTATTCGTATTCATCATATCTTATAAAAACACGGTTCCCTTTAATAAAAAAACGCACACAGTTCCGCACTCTTCTACCGTCGCCTTGTTGAAAGCCGCGCGTTTCGCTGCCTGTCTCACTTCATCAAGTCTTATTTGCGCGATTTTTTTACCATACTAATTTTAATAAACAGTAACGTTTTCCCCCGTTTTAAGATCCTCTTTCAGCAAAGCGGGTTTCTGCCGTGAGATTTTCCGTCAGGCATTAGGTGCCCCGATCCTGCAGGGTGGCAGCCGAAGGACCCCTGAGGGAAACTCGTCAGAGCGGCTAACGTGTGTCTGTCTCCGGCGCTTTATTCGTCAAACTCAGCTTCTGGTCGCTCTAGCTGGACAGGACTTCTCTCGCCGCCGGACTCTGATCGCAGCGTGACCGGAACATGAGCGCTCTGCAGGCTCGGGCTCGAGGGCAGCTGTGTGAGAGTCTCCTCACATGGGCGAGTGCTTGCTTTATTTGAGTGTTCGTGTTATAAATGTGATTCTCTGTAACATCACGGGTTTATCTGCTGTTTACGTCTTTCTCACGAACAGCTAATTAACGTGTTCTTCGAAGTGCTTCGTAAATATGACACACAGAGTTACTCTTTCAGCACCGCGGCGTTAGCTTCTGATGATCTGTGATGCTGTGTTTCTTCAGAATTATAATCACTATATTGATGATCAGTCATATACACACCGTCTCTGTAAGACTAGCACTGGTCTGACTAACTAGCAGTCAGTCAAGGGTTAATCAGTTTTGCTTTTCTGAATCATATTGGACCAAACTAAGCAAGTCATTGAGGTTTTTCTGTAAGACTGGTCTTAGCTCTTAAATCACCTACAGACAGCTAGCTTGGACTAAAGTCGACTGGTTACCATTTGACTAACTAGCTGGTCTGGCTAGTTCTTAGCACGGTGCTTGTGTTTTTGCAGCTGGCCTCTGAGCAAGATAACTAGTTGTAGGACTAGTAGAGATCTGAGTAACCGGTTAATCGTGAGGGAATCTGAGTCTTCACTCATCAAGATCTGTAACTACATTCATGCAGACGATACATGATTCAGCTTCGTTTCTGAGGGTGGTTACAGAATAAAGTGCAGTGGAATTAATTCAAATTCAAATTGATTGAGATGACTGAGAGTCTCTATCCGAGCTCCTATTGATCATCGCATTGATCCATCAGTGTCCGATAAAGCGTCTGATTGCGTGTGTGAGTGTGTGTGTGAGTGTGTGTGTGATTGTGTGTGTGTGAGTGTAACGCCTCGCATCATTCACAGTCGGGTTATTAGCAGAGAACACAGAGCAGGGCTTGAATTTCAGGCGTGAGATTGCGGCTATTAATAATAATTCTAATTCCCGCAGGTTCCGCGCTTATAACGCGATGACAGATGACGGAACTTAACATTTGCACGTACTTCTGAGTCTTGAAAACTCTCATTTTCTGTGCGCCCACAGATCGCGATGAGTGACAGATTTCAGCCGCTTCACATCTCTAGAAGCAAACACAGCGGTGTTTCATTCATAAATGAAAGTGCGTTTTTGAACGAATCTAGCGAGTCAGTGATTCTTGATTACCCATTCATAAAGACAGTCAGTTGCATCATTCCTGAATGAATCAGCCGTTCAGACGAATCAATTGAATGAATGATTCAGTGATAAAATCCGTGATTTGCCGCCACCTGCTGGCGGTTTCAGTTTCATTTTTAGGTATAATTGCAGTTATTTCAATAATTTAATATTTCTGTATTCAAAATTTTATTTAAAACATTAATCTCCACATGAATTTATGAATTTTATTGCACTCATGCCACCTCTGAGCCTCATTGAATGTCTGAAAATGTACCTACAAGCCACTTTT